GAAGGAAGGAAGGAAGGAAGGAAGGAAGGAAGGAAGGAAGGAAGGAAGGAAGGAAGGAAGGAAGGAAGGAAGGAAGGAAGGAAGGAAGGAAGGACTGTTTTTAATAATATCCTTCCTGTTTGCATTGTCTGCTTGAAGAAGCATAACCACATTCAGAACCAGCCTCCTCTTGCCAGAGTGCCTCACAGGAAGGCTGATGATGTTGACCCTCTCCAGCTAAGCTTGGCTACTCTTCTGGTCTACATGGAGGCAAAAATATCACAACAACACTTACAGTGTCAGGGAAATAATATCTAAATTAAGCTAAGAGATGTGTAAATAGTTGCAGTTCTTTCTGGTGGATAATTATTTCAAGTTCTGTGTGATCTTCAGGAAAAAGGAGTCATGTGAATTCAAAGCATTACTCATTAATTAGCATACAAAGGTTCATACAGTGAGGAGGATATTAAGGTCAAAGCTGAAACTTGATTTAGGTTTTATGTTTTTATTAAGACTTACTAGCCATTCTGCCTTGTATTCTACAAAGAAAAAGACATAGCCCCATAAAAGTTAACAAGTCTTCTTATGGTTGCTATGATCAACCAGGGAAGAAACTGCAAGATATAATTTGTTTTCAAAGTACATCACTTTCAATATTTGGGCGTGATTTTGTATTCAACTAAAACCAAAATAAAAGATTGTTTGATGAAAAGGTTCAACAGAATTTAAATGCAAATTGTGTAAGAGAGCAAAATGTTTTCTGGCTTCCATGTACAGTGATAGCAGCAGGCCAATACTGATGTGTTTAAATGTATTCAAAATGTGTAAATTACATTTTTCTTCAAAGTTTTAGAATATATACACACAGCTTTCAAAAGGGGTTTTTGAATGAGATTTGAGTACTCACAAAAGCCACTCCTAAATGAGCGCAGTTGAAGAACTAAAAAAAATTGTGCACACATTTCCAAAGTGGCTGTAAGGCTCTAAATGCCATTATGTTCCAATGCCATTGCATGTAAAAATATTCATGTAGGAAGCAGGTGGCATCTTTTAAGATATAAGAAGGTGAAATAGAGGTCAGGTTTCCAACAGGTTTTATACTTTATAATGCACATATATGGTATATGCAGCAGCACTTCATATTTCTGCAGTGAGACAGTTTCAGCACGATCAGGTCCTGGTTCAACAAAATCTGTGATAATATACCCGAATTTTGGTATCTGGCAGAACCCACCAAGTCAAACTTCAGTCACACCACACTCAGTAGGTCTCCACCATATATTTAGAGTCAAGCTCAGGCTAAAGTGATGTATGCAGGATCAGAGACCCTTCCTCACCTTGTATGGCTGGGGTTGGAACTACCTCCCTGCCTGCCTGGCCCAGCTCTGCTGGCTGATGTAAGTCCTCAGGCAAAGGGCTGGGACCTCCTTTGGCTCACCATGGAAGGCAGTCAGGAGCACAGGGCAGCCCATGCCCTCTGCAGAGGCTGTCAGAGGCCATGGGGCAGCAGGGCAGGGAAGGTTGCCCTGCCCCTCATGCAGCCCCTCCATCTCAGACCCAGCTGCAATTGGCTTTAAAGGGCTGCAAGAGCACAGCGTTTTCCATAGATAGACAGGAACAAGGGAAACAAAGCATATGGTTTCATCTGAGTCAGAGCAAAATATGCCACAAAAATGCCAGACCTCTTTCATCTTAAATGTGTGTAAGTAAATTTTGGCTGATATCTGTGTGTGAAATAGAGTTCTTCCCATAGTAATGCCCCACAGTGGTAGTTTTAAGTCATAGAGAATCCTAGGGCTTTCAGGAGTTAAAAAAAAAAAAAAAAATCAAACAACAAAATAGAGGCAAAGCTGTGTCACTGAGCTGAAATTCCTTTGACAGATGCAAAGGTCTTGATGACAGTTATTTTCCAGGTCTGCAGCTCGGCAGCCCTGCCCTGAATGGTTTCCCACATGAAGTGTTTGAAGAAGCGGTCGACGTGTGACTGATCTCCAAGGCCCATTGCCTGGTCTTCTTTAAGGATGGGGCAGGGACAGAAGGAAAGGTGATGCTGATAAGGGAATCTGAACCAAATGTTGTCACATGCTAGATGCGATTAGATGCCCTTGCTGTGACTTATTACACAATCTGAAAGTGGAAAGGAAAAACCTGGGGTGAAATGCAGCCACAAGAGGGGGAGATGATTTTTCAGCAAAGAGCAAAAGCCAAGAAATAAATTGTTGTAGATGCCTAAACCAGGTCAGATATCAGTTTCTTCTGCTCTATGGGATAGATGTGATGCTGCAGTAAATTTTCCCCCAATCAGGCCTACTGTCATTTGCATTTTTACTTTCACAAGCTGCTGATTATATTTTTTAAAAAAGGCTTGTCTTTAATAAAGAACAGGACAATGCTAAAGGCCATTTTTGATAAATCTGGGTTATTTCAGGTGTTGGTTTTTACTTGCATGCTTGGACAAATTAAAGCTTTGAAGCCTAATATATGTAATAGAATTAAGAGACTTAAAATTGGAATGCTCTTTAAAATTCCAGAAAATGTTTGTATATTTGCTTCTAGGAAAATTTATTTTCCTTATATACTTTCATAAGTTTCACATTCTTAATATTTGTCATATTAAGAAATAACTATGAAATAACTAAATTATACTCAATTTTTCCCAAAACATTTTTTTATCAAATATCAAGGCTTTGAGGCAAGGATTCCAGGATTTAATATGTTATCACTATGCATTTTTAGGTACATATTATTCGTACATATGCACTGTTTGTAAATATATATTATTGTATATGTTGATAAAAGAAATTGTTGTGCAAGTACAAGGGAAAGTGCAAATTTTCCTAGTCTAAAGAAGAACCTGTCAATCTCCTTCTTAACCAAGTGACACACTTCTCTCCAGCCTCAATAGTTATCACATATAGCCTGTGTTTGTTCAACTTCTGAATGTGACATGGTGACTACTAATTGTTCCCCGGCTTATTATTTAATTGTTGAAATCCTGACTGAGGATGTGAGGGAGGATTTTGTCTAAACTGGATTTTAAGTCCTGTTGACACCTATCTGGTCTGGTTTCCCATGTTCAAAATAGGCCTGATACAACACAAGTCTGCCCTGCTTGGTGAGGTACCTGGCTGCCCCTGAAGTTGAAGAGTAATCTGAAGAACAGCCCAGGGCCAGAAAGACCTTGCAGGGGACACCAGCTGAGCAGGGACAGCAGCTCTGCTGTGACAGTCTCAGCATCCTGTTGTCTTTTCCTGATGTGTCTGAATAGCCATTTTAAATGCTAGCCTTTAACAGGCCTGCCTTTGCCTAAAGTAATATCCTGTGGTGATTCTAATGAACAGAAAAAGATTCATAGTCTGAGAAAGATTAAAGTATGGGCTCTTCCTTTTACCTCACTTTTATAGCTAAATAGGAGCCACGATGAGACTGAGGTCTTAACACAATGTAAATTATTGGTGTGGGTGTCCCAAAAAATGCATATCTGGAGGCAGCCAGGTGGTGAGCACTGCTTTGAAAGCAGCTGCAGGAGTGCTCTGTGGAGCTGAGTTCAGCAGGAGTTTGGGTCGGAAGCGTGGCTGTGGCAGAGAGACTCTGTGGCTCAAAGTTTCCCATCCCTCTGCCACATATTGTGACTCACTGTGTCAAGCAAGAGGTTGTAGGAAGGAAAAGAGCAACAAAGGGACAAAGAGAAAAAGAAATCCTTTCCCCCTGGTTCCTATCTCCCCCAGTGTTATACCTTAGCCATTTGAGAAATACATCTATTTTATCTCTTTCCTCGAGTTGTGGAATTTTAAAGGCTATCCATGTTCTACCTTCATACCTTCTTTTATTCTCCTATTTCCCTTCATCGCAAGCACTTGCCCTCAGATAACTCTGGCACATTTGTATTGCAGGCACTGGCAGAGGAGGACAGCTGCCTTCAGCATACCCTCATTTCATGCCCATTCTGCCCTTCACCAGGTCTTAACCCCTGCCTGACCATGTCTTTGCTGACAGTCTCACAGGGGTTTGAGTGTCTCATTGTTAACTTCAGGCCAAAATACACCTGGGACACAATGAAGGGTGCTGCCTTTTGTTTATTTTCTGTTCCATCAGTAATCAGGAGTCTTTACAATATAGCGTTGCAGCACAGATATTTAGTTTGCAAACTCTTGCCACATGTTCATAGAGTGTCTGCCAACTAAGAGTTCCAGATCATAATAATAACCATACCAAAGCCTGTATGGGCTTTTTCAAATATATCTAGATGCAGAATGAGAACACTGGACCTGCAGAAAATGTTATATTTCTTCAAAAGATGATTTGGGCAGCTTGCTTAGGTCTTTGTGTGATGAGAAGAGTGAGGTCCCTGTCCAGATGTCAGGAGGGCCTGGCCGAAGTCTGAGCCCAGCAAAAAGCTGAGAAGGACACAGCAATATGTGACAGCAGGGTGCTGCAAAAGCTCTGCTCATAAATGCACTATAAGTGGGGTTTACCCTCTTTCTCTCAGCTGCCAGCTCATTTAGGTACATGGCGTCATCCTGCTTTATTAAATCAAGGTTTCAATCTTGCTTTGCCAAGAAGACTAGCTCGGCCCTGTTTTCCTCCTCAGACATGATATCCAGTTGTCTTTCTGATTACTTGACATAGTCTCATTTCTACAGACACTCTGTTTAGCAAGGAAGTCTCAATCCCATTTTACAAGTGTGAATGTGATGCACAGACTGTGCTGAGAGACAACACCATGCAAGGAGCTTTCTTCTGTTTCACCAGCTCTCTTCCATCTGTTAGTTTGCTCTTCCTAAAAGCAAGAGGGAATGCTAAACTTAAACGGCAGTAGGCACAGGAGGAAGCAAGTAAAGAGGAGGGGGAAAAGGAAGATCTGGCATTGACTGAATGGTGATTTCTTGCCATGCTTTGCTGTATCTAAGCATAGGGGGAGCAGCTGAAGGTCCCAGTCCAGGCTGTCAGAAAGTGATGGAAAAGAGTACATGATAATCTACAAGGGGAAAAAAACTTGGTCGGGTCATTGGTGAAATCACCCCAAGTAAACACATATGGTCTGCTCCATATCCCCCACAATTTGTGCCATAAACAGGTGCAGGAGAAGTTTTCCCACACAAAAATCCCTTCAGCAGAGATGGTGGACAGGGACAGGAGAAACTCTTTTGCCTCTCTCTGTCTCTTGCAGCTTCCTTTCCTTTTTTATGCAACTAGGTACACCTTGCTAAAGGGTTAGAGCCTGCTCTGCCCTTCCAGCTGCTGGTTCAAGCCTCACTTTTGGGGTCACCCTATGCTGTAGTCTGGTCTACCTATGGAGATTATTTTTACTTCCAAGCTTGCAAAAGGCATACAGAGTGAGAATGTCAACAGCTCCTCTGATTGTTGCTGAAAGATGAGCTACATGGCCCCACAGATGTCAAGGCTGGGGAGGAGTGGGGAGAGATGAAAGATGAAAAGGTGGGAGGGAAGATTTGCTGTGTCTGAGGAAACTAGGACTTTACTCAAATTTAGGTTTTTGCATGCCTGACCCGAGAGTGACCTGCTGACCTCTCCTCCCTGCCTACCTCCATCCCAGCTGTTTCTCCTGAAGGAAAGAGGCCAGACTCACCTCCTGCACTCTGCTTGACAGCATGTCCAGGCAGACTGCTTCCTGCCAGAGTAAACACATTTACAGAGTGTCATGCACAGGGTTCAAGCCACCTAATACCAAAGAAGTCAACAGGATAGGTGCCCCCGAAAGCCCCAAAGTGGTAGTGCCATCACAACAAGTAAATACCTGCACATGTGCAACTCTTCTAAGTTTGTTGATTGCGTAGGTAAGAATTGTTGATGTTGCTCGTTCTCCACACAGATGTAAAAAACTGTAAAATAAAGGTGAAGCAACCCATGAGGTTATGCATACAGCTTACAAAATATGTTAATTAATCACTTTCCTAGTCAATAGACCCTAATAAAAAAAGCAGTGGCAGCATGAAGCATGAAGACTACACCATCATGGACTCGTAAAGAATCAAGAGATGTGTAGCTAGCTCCTGAGAGAAAAATTATGTGAGAGGAAGATGCAATATTTAAAAAGCAGTCGAGAAATAACCTAGTCTACAACCAGGACAAAGCAACTACAATTATGTGTGCTTGTAATAGGAAGGAGCAGTGATTCCATTACTAAACTCCTTCCTCAGGCAAGAGATCAAAGGAAATTACACCCGTAAGAAAAATTTCTACAATGCCTCGCTAATTAAACAGCAGTTGTTTCATGTAATATTGAAATCAAAAACCATGTAAACAAACCTTGGGACAGGTTTGAATATTTTCCATTCAGGCATGAGCCTGAACAAACTCTATCTTGCACTATTCCTGACTTTTGGAGAAGTTTGAATCCAGAGATGGATGGATTCAATTTTTGTGATCTGGACTCATCTTCACTTAATATTAACAAAAGTCGAATCCTTAGCAAGGAATATACAGTAGCTGGAAAGAAAATGCAGAACACAACCAATGACTGATAAGAAAATGTCAAATGTATCCAACTTCAGTAATGTTTCAAACCTAAAAATGAGCCTGATATGTCACATATTAGATGCAAGTAAGACATTCAGTAATTTTTAAGTGGTTAAGAAAAGGAAAATTACAGTAACAAAGTAGCAGCACCTTTCAGTATGACTGAGAAAGTTCTCAGGCTGGTGGCAAAGCAGCAACAAAGATCAGCAGCAGCCTTCTTTCACACTTCCCCTCTGAGTCTGTTTACCTCCTGTAAAGTATATGAGTGCTGCAATGTAGGTGGTGCTGAGCTGGTCAGAAAGGCACAGAATAATAACCAGAGTCCATCACAGCTTGTTTATACCAAAGTCTGTGAACCCTGGCTCTGTAGAACCTACAAATCAAACAGAAGTGTTTTGAAGGGGCTATCTCTACAACGGCACCTAAATTAAAAAACTGATACCTAAAACCAGACAGCTGTGGATTGACTGGCTCTCTTCCTTTCCATTACCATTTTCTTCTCATTGATTTAAGACTTATCTGCAACATTTCTGTCCATCAGAGTTCCAACTGGGAATACTGTGATTGTTTCTCCTCTTCATGACAGAGATCTGTCTTTTTCAAACTAGCTCCTGCATGCCAGTTTTTCTCTGGCTATGCCTGCTCCGGTGAATTCAGCAAGACAAGGCAAAAGGCTTAAGCACCAGCCCATGACTGCCTCTGACATTTGGCTGTCAGCAGGCTCCTGGGAGCCGTGCCCACAGCTGCCTCTGAGCCTGCTTGCATTGCTTGGGCATGGCTAGCAAATGCCAAGAACCATTTTCTCACACTAAAGGTAGCCCTGTAACCTCCCATCCCTCTAAGTCACTGCTCCTTCCCCATATTCAAGGACCACCGCACCTCATTCATGATCACTTTCACGTTAACACAGTGGTCTGTATAGGTCTGTACATATTCACACAGTGTAATACCACAGTCCACTGCTATTCCTGTTTTTTCCTTTGAATCATAACCCTGGAGCCCTGCAGCTCTAGGCAGCCAAGTTTCTTTCAGAAAGAAGATTTACAAAATGAGAATTTCCTTCTCAAGAGCTCATCTGTTTAGTCCCCACCTGCACTCCTAATCCTACCAGTGACATCAGTGGGAATGGGCAGACATTTGAATTTTCAGTAAAAGGCAAAAGTGAGTGGTCTTATATTCATTGTATCCACCCACACCCATTTGTTTTCAAAAAAAAAAAAAAAAAAGCAGAGAAAGAAGTTGTTAAAAAAGAGAATAAGTAGAAACAATAGCAAAAAGACATGCACACACAGAAAAATGGCAGAATCTAAAAGCAAACACTTCTGAATTTCCCGTAACAACAAACTGGATTCACAGTTCAAGCACCCTTTGGATGTGGTAACCAGGAGCTGGAACAAGCAGCCAAACGTTCAGTGCGGATGTGGCCTCTCGCCAAGGGCAGGGTAGGAGATTCACAAGAGCCACACTTTCTCTCTCTGAAGGCAGAGCACCAGGAACATCTCCCTCTTTGGGAGCCAGGGTGGCCACAGAGCTGGCCCAAGTTCATAGACAGCCTCAAAAATCCTCCAGTCCTTTATGTTTCTACAGAAAGGATATTCCTTTCCCAGCTCACCTATGCCAAGTGCTTCTCTCTCGGGGCAGATCAGAGCCCTGCTGCCTGCCACAGACATCTGCAGAGGCTCCTCTGCAAACAGCTACTTCCAAACAGCTTAACCCGGGCAGATTTTTGCTTTGCTAGGAAAGGACATCGCGTTTAACTGCGCATTTGAAAAGACCTTGCACACGCAGGGACCCTCACACATGCATTCACAAACGGTGGGGTTAACAGCTGCTGCCTGGGGAAAAGTACATTCAACACTGGCTTAAAGCATAAACCCACTGCATCCCCTCATTTGATGAAAAAGCTGAACAGTGAAATGTCTCAGGAGAAGAAGCCACAGGCCTGTTATAGCTTTAACAGAGCCCGAGTGCTTATCTCAAGCTGAGAGAGTGATTTCATGGCAATAATTTGTTTAAAGTGTTGCTGATTGCTTCCTATTTCTTCCCAGCAAATGACTTTTACACCTTTCTACTGTCGCTTTTTATACGAACTGCTATGGCAATTACGCTGCAGGAGGCTGTGTAAACATCACACAGACTCTTTTATCTTCCTACCAAAGGCCATAGAAGACACTCCTGAGACCAGATTAAAAGTATTTTCATACCTTTACTCCTTCCTTGAAAAAAAATATTGTTATTAAGTTGCTAACAGAGTTTTCTCTTATTCTTACAGAACCCGTTCAAATGTACTTCCAACAAGACTGCTAGATCCCTGTATGTAGTCCCTTTGAAGGGACATTAAACAAAGTAAAAAATAAAATTACTGAGAGTTCATGGGGGCAAGGAACCACCCTTTCTCTGCTAAAAGAAAAACACCTCTGATAAAATGATTTCAAATTGAATTGACTCTTTCAGAAGATCTGTGGCTATACAGGAAATGATCAGGACTAATCTGATCATCTGAGGAATCTTTCTCTGGTATCTCTGGTGCATCCTCCTATTCTCCAGTGCCAGCCCTAGGTGTTAGCTGTCTGTTTCTCTCAGCCCTGCAAGGAACAGGTTCATGCAATGACTTTTGGAATCTGGCAAAGGCACTTTGCATGTTTGACCCGAGCTTTAGCCCAAGGATATGGTTTGGCCCATTAAAGTTTTCCTCTCAATCCAAACTTCAAATTTTCTGCATTCTGTGGTCAACAGTGCTCAGAGATATGCACACCATCAGATCACCTGTGAAGCCCAAGCTCCATCCCCATCTCTGTCCAATTAAGCAGAGCTCACTACAGAGTCTGTACCAGTTTTAGGCCTTTTCCTGCCTGTTTTGTTCTGACTTTAAGAGGACTTAAAATAGCTGAACCAGCACAAAGTTAGAGCAGCACAGAAGATAATACAAGATCTGGCATAAATCCTCCTGGTGCACAGTTGGGTGGCCAGTGGGTTTTGGCACACTTATGCTGATGATGTGAATTTCTTCTTACTCGGTGTTTTACATCATGTGACCATAGTGGTAGGTTTTTTCTTGTCAAGAAAATCCTTATATTATCCATGAAGTATAAGAAAGACACCCTGATGGTAATGACAGAGAATGACAGAGAATTAAAGCTTACAGAATAATTAACTCAATAATTCCCTATTTTAGCTAGGATTGTAATGCAATTTCCATTTTAATGCTTAATTTTTAGTTGTGTGGGGGATTTGATAGTTTCACTGCCACTTATATAAAAAGAGTGATTGAAGTTCTACATGCTTAGCAATATATTATCTTCCTTTCTATGATTTAATGCAACATAGTCTAATATGATATTTCTTTTTCTGATATTCTGTGTGAATGAGATGCTTCAAATGTCTTATGGGTGAAGTTCCAAAATCAAAAGGAAAACTTTTAACAATTACACAATCTCTGAAGTTGTATTTACTTTGAGACAAGGTAAATTTGAAAGCAATCACATCAATTTACTTTTAAAAGCTGCCACTGCCATTGTCTCAGAGATGAAGAACATGTACAGTGTTGTGAGGGGTCACTCTTAGTTTCATCTAGTTGTATTCTTTACCTTTTCTGAATTATGGGTCATATTGGTCTTTCAGAGCATTCACTGCTCTGCTGGTCTCTGTGCTGCTCATCCACCCCTACTGATACAGGCTTCTTACATTAGCCTCCCACAGCAAGTTTTGGGTGGAATTTTTTCAGTGTTTAAAATGTGTCATCAATATTATTAGAGAACAGGACTCCAGTAGATAAATTCATTCAAGAAAGGGAATAAAGAGTATTATGCACAGCCTTACTTACAGACAGTTCACTTCTCATCTCTATTTGCACTTCTGGGCAGCAGAATAACTCATCAGCTTTAAGAAAAAAGCAGATACTCATCAATAGGCTCTACAACATCTGTTGAAAAACATGCTGTGTGCATCATGATGTCGAACAGGGGAGCATGAACTCATTAGGATAATAGGAAAGGAGTTTCCTTGCTCCTTGCACTGAAAGCCCATTGCTGTCTCCAGGTGGTAAAAACATTAAAATAAGACCAACTGTGAAACTCTGCTTATTTCACACAAGCATGAATTGGTCTGGTACAAGAACTGTCTGTCAAGTAAATGAAATGAGATAAGCAGGACTAACACAGTATTATGCCCTTGGCATAACAGTAACTCCTGTAACATTATCTAGATGGCTCCATAAATCGTTCTTAAGTACTCCAAGTGTTTTTACATACTTTTTTTTTTTCACAAACAGCCTTGGTAGTATTGTTCTTCCTGACCTTTGCACACCCCTGTACAATCCCCTTCAGCACTCAGAAAGGAGAACTCTAACTGTGTGAAACAAAAGC